CAGACGTCTCATAGGAACTCTTATATTCGGCTTAGAGTCGACTTCTAAGGGCTCTAAGATTCAGCTCAAACTCGTCTCATAAGGGCTCTTATAATCGGCTCAGAGACGTCTCATAAGATCTCTTATATTCGGCTCAGAGAGGTCTCATAAGGGCTCTTATATTCGGCTCGAAGACGTCTCATCAGGGCTCTTATATTCGGCTCAGAGACGTCTCATAAGAACTCTTATAGTCGGCTCTGACTCGTCTCATAAGGGCTCTTATATTCGGCTCAGACTCGTCTCATAAGGGCTTTTATATTCGGCTCGAAGACGTCTCATAAAAACTCTTATATTCGGCACAGACTCGTCTCATAAGGGCTCTTATAATTGGCTCAGAGACGTCTCATAGGAACTCTTATATTCGGCTTAGAGTCGACTTCTAAGGGCTCTAAGATTCAGCTCAAACTCGTCTCATAAGGGCTCTTATAATCGGCTCAGAGACGTCTCATAAGGGCTCTTATATTCCGCTCGAAGACGTCTCATAAGAACTCTTATATTCGACTCAGACTTCTCTCATAAGGGCTCTTATATTCGGCTCAGAGACGTCTCATAAGGGCTCTTATATTCGGCTCAGAGACGTCTCATAAGAACTCTTATATTCGGCTCAGACTCGTATCATAAGGGCTCTTATATACGGCTCAGACTCGTCTCATAAGGGCTCTTTTATTCGGCTCAGACTCGTCTCATAAGGGCTCTTATATACGGCTCAGACTCGTCTCATAAGATCTCTTATATTCGGCTCAGAGAGGTCTCATAAGGGCTCTTATATTCGGCTCAGAGACGTCTCATAAGATCTCTTATATTCGGCTCAGAGACGTCTCATAAGATCTCTTATATTCGGCTCAGAGAGGTCTCATAAGGGCTCTTATATTCGGCTCGAAGACGTCTCATAAGGGCTCTTAGATTCGGCTGAGACTTGTCTCATAAGAACTCTTATATTCGGCTCAGACTCGTCTCATAAGGGCTCTTATATTCGGCTCAGACTCGTCTCATAAGGGCTCTTATAATCGGCTCAGACGTCTCATAGGAACTCTTATATTCGGCTTAGAGTCGACTTCTAAGGGCTCTAAGATTCAGCTCAAACTCGTCTCATAAGGGCTCTTATAATCGGCTCAGAGACGTCTCATAAGATCTCTTATATTCGGCTCAGAGAGGTCTCATAAGGGCTCTTATATTCGGCTCGAAGACGTCTCATCAGGGCTCTTATATTCGGCTCAGAGACGTCTCATAAGAACTCTTATAGTCGGCTCTGACTCGTCTCATAAGGGCTCTTATATTCGGCTCAGACTCGTCTCATAAGGGCTTTTATATTCGGCTCGAAGACGTCTCATAAAAACTCTTATATTCGGCACAGACTCGTCTCATAAGGGCTCTTATAATTGGCTCAGAGACGTCTCATAGGAACTCTTATATTCGGCTTAGAGTCGACTTCTAAGGGCTCTAAGATTCAGCTCAAACTCGTCTCATAAGGGCTCTTATAATCGGCTCAGAGACGTCTCATAAGGGCTCTTATATTCCGCTCGAAGACGTCTCATAAGAACTCTTATATTCGACTCAGACTTCTCTCATAAGGGCTCTTATATTCGGCTCAGAGACGTCTCATAAGGGCTCTTATATTCGGCTCAGAGACGTCTCATAAGAACTCTTATATTCGGCTCAGACTCGTATCATAAGGGCTCTTATATACGGCTCAGACTCGTCTCATAAGGGCTCTTTTATTCGGCTCAGACTCGTCTCATAAGGGCTCTTATATACGGCTCAGACTCGTCTCATAAGATCTCTTATATTCGGCTCAGAGAGGTCTCATAAGGGCTCTTATATTCGGCTCAGAGACGTCTCATAAGATCTCTTATATTCGGCTCAGAGACGTCTCATAAGATCTCTTATATTCGGCTCAGAGAGGTCTCATAAGGGCTCTTATATTCGGCTCGAAGACGTCTCATAAGGGCTCTTAGATTCGGCTGAGACTTGTCTCATAAGAACTCTTATATTCGGCTCAGACTCGTCTCATAAGGGCTCTTATATTCGGCTCAGACTCGTCTCATAAGGGCTCTTATAATCGGCTCAGACGTCTCATAGGAACTCTTATATTCGGCTTAGAGTCAACTTCTAAGGGCTCTAAGATTCAGCTCAAACTCGTCTCATAAGGGCTCTTATAATCGGCTCAGAGACGTCTCATAAGATCTCTTATATTCGGCTCAGAGAGGTCTCATAAGGGCTCTTATATTCGGCTCGAAGACGTCTCATAAGGGCTCTTATATTCGGCTCAGACTCGTCTCATAAGGGCTCTTATAATCGGCTCAGAGACGTCTCATAGGAACTCTTAGATTCGGCTGAGACTTGTCTCATAAGAACTCTTATATTCGGCTGAGACTTGTCTCATAAGAACTCTTATATTCGGCTCAGACTCGTCTCATAAGGGCTCTTATATTCGGCTCAGACTCGTCTCATAAGGGCTCTTATAATCGGCTCAGACGTCTCATAGGAACTCTTATATTCGGCTTAGAGTCGACTTCTAAGGGCTCTAAGATTCAGCTCAAACTCGTCTCATAAGGGCTCTTATAATCGGCTCAGAGACGTCTCATAGGAACTCTTATATTTGGCTTAGACTCGTCTCATAAGGGCTCTTATATTCCGCTCGAAGACGTCTCATAAGAACTCTTATATTCGGCTCAGACTCGTCTCATAAGGGCTCTTATACTCGGCTCAGAGACGTCTCATAAGGGCTCTTAGATTCGGCTGAGACTTGTCTCATAAGAACTCTTATATTCGGCTCAGACTCGTATCATAAGGGCTCTTATATTCCGCTCGAAGACGTCTCATAAAAACTCTTATATTCGGCTCAGACTCGTCTCATAAGGGCTCTTATAATCGGCTCAGAGACGTCTCATAAGAACTCTTATATTCGGCTCAGACTCGTCTCATAAGATCTCTTATATTCGGCTCAGAGAGGTCTCATAAGGGCTTTTATATTCGGCTCGAAGACGTCTCATAAAAACTCTTATATTCGGCTCAGACTCGTCTCATAAGGGCTCTTATAATCGTTTGGTTTGCGCTTGTCTAATAAACCTTATAAATAGCGGTTTGCGCCACTCTAATTGATGTAATAAATACTGGTTTGCGCCTGTCTAATAAACCTTATAAATATGGCTTTGCGCCACACTATTTGATCTCATAAATATAAGTTTGCGCCAGTCTAATAAACCTTATAAATATGGCTGCGCCACTCAACTTGACCTCATAAATATAAGTTTGCGCCAGTCTAATAAACCTTATAAATTGTGGTTTGCGCCACAGTTTAATCTACTTTGACCAATTAGGTCTGTAGCCCAAAATAGGGTCTGTTACCCAAATAGGGTCTGTCACCCAAATAGGGTCTGTCACCCAAATAGGATCTGTCACCCAAATAGGGTCTATCACCCAAATAGGGTCTGTCACCCAAATAGGGTCTGTCACCCAAATAGGCTCTGTCACCCAAATAGGCTCTGTCACCCAAATAGGCTCTGTCACCCAAATAGGCTCTGTCACCCAAATAGGCTCTGTTACCCAAGTAAGGTTTCAGACCCGTCTAGGGTTTCAGATCCGTCTAGGGTTTCAGATCCGTCTAGGGTTTCAGATCCGTCTAGGGTTTCAGACCCGCCTGGAAGGACCGTGGGCCTATAAGGACCGTGGGCCTATAAGGACCGTGGGCCTATAAGGATCGTGGGCCTATAAGGACCGTGGGCCTATAAGGACCGTGGGCCTATAAGGTACACTAAGAGCCGTCCGTTAACGGATAACAGTTCTCATAATAAAAATATTTACTTACGTAATAGTTGTTAGCTGTCCGCGTAGTTGTGGATAGGTCCAAAGGCTCCTTAACCAAAGGCTTACTTAAGATGTCAAACAGTTGATTCGCGATAAAAAAGTAAACACACACACAAAGTAATAAGCAAATACTTTTATTAATTCACTTTAAAGTAATACACGTAGTATGACTCCAAGTGGAGAACTGATTTTGGTGTTCGAAAGACACCTCTATTTATACTAAAGTGTACGTTCGGAAAAAGTGTGTCACATTGAGTCAGGTTTTAATCACTATTAAAACTGGGAGTTTACTATTTAATTTTTTCTATAACATTTTAGTGCATTATTTTAACACTAAAATATTGAATAAAATTTCCTTAAAAACAAGGTGTTTACCTTTAGGTTTTCTGTATAACATTTTAGTGCTGTTATAAATTTTTAACAAATAAAAATAAAAATAATTTTTGAAATAATTTTTCAGAATATAACAAATAAAATACCCTTACAATATATCCTTGACTTCAATATAAAATTATTTAATGTTGAAATATTAGTGTATATAAGCATTTGTTTATTATAGGGAAAGTTTTCAATAATTTAGCTTATGTAATAATTATGTTTTTAATTATTTAAATAAAAACAAAATTTATTTAATAGTCAAATATTTTGCTGATTTGACCCACTATTGCAATATAAGTTTGCGCCAGTCAAATAAACGTTATAAATAGTGGTTTGCGCCACTCAACTTGACCTCATAAATATAAGTTTGCTCCAGTCAAATAAACCTTATAATATAATATTTTTATTTTTATTTTATTTAAATAATTATAATTACTGAATATTTTTTTAAAAAATAATTAATATACTGTTTATGCTAATTAAATATATTTTAAACTATATGGGTAATAGTAATACAAAAAAATATATTATACTACAACAACAACAAAATTTAATTATTAAATAATATATCAGTAAATATATTTTACTGATTATTAATCAATAGTATAACTTTATATTGAATTTAATATCTATACTCAATAAAGATAGTATTAAATATATTATTAATTATTGTATTAATTTCTATATAACTAATTATATTTGTTATAACCAATACTACTATTACTATTACTACTATTGTAAATAATATATAGTGTTTTTTATTATTTTGATATCAATTACTGATTATCAATAACAGTCTGATTAATCCAATCGACATAATTGGATACTCTCAGGAAAATCATAAAACTGTCGGTACTATTGATGAAACAATCGTCAGTACCTCTCAATACTATACTCGCTATACCAATGATTACGGCCCGACCCCCGTCCACATACTGTATCAATGGTCCGCCAGAATCACCCTATTATTTGTTTTAAAGACAAATGAGTTGTGGTTAGGGGTTATCGGAAATCTTTAGGGGGTTTGTTAGCCGTCAGCTAATATGGATATATACTAAACTATACACAAACCGATTCCCCTTCCCTCTGGATATCGTTTAGTATAAATCCTGGGCTCACCGGACGATTGGGTGTTGAAATTGTCTATTTTAACAAAACCCGTACGCAAACGTCCCTCATTGACTACACCATTGGCCAGTCGACCAAAACCGGCATACAGTGCCAACTCATCATTATAGGGGTCATCGGGATATTTTTCGGGCAAACAAATACCGTTTATCGTATAATATCCGACTTTATGGTCAAACTTGATATGTCTGTCCAATTTTAACAATGCAATGTCAAACCAGAATCGGTCAAAATCGCCTTCATTTTGATAGTCCGGATGAATAAACCATTGTTTTACATCATAGGTATGTCTACTACTATGGCTGACTGTCTGAACAATACTAACCGATATCTTTCTATCGAGTCTTTGTAATCAAAATATATATATTTGTTTTTAAAGTTTAGTATTATTCAAAACAAATGTCTCAAATAAATAATTTGTTTAACATGTATACAAAAAAATACAGTAAAAAAATTAAACTAATATTAATGAAATAATATTATTGAAATTTATAAATTAATTTAATTTTTAAAAAAATTGAATTACTTTATACAATGAGCTGCTGTTAAAATCCATTGTGAGTTTAGTATAGCACCCGTGCATTTTGAGCTAAACAAATTAATTACCGGTTATATTGTTATAAAGGATATATAATTTTTTTTAAAATTAATATTAATATAATATACTAATAATAAATTGAAATATACAAATCATATTTGTATCCTAAAAACGTTTTGTATCTCCAAATCAATGCAATCCACGGCCACTCTCCCGGTTCGGCTAATCGTCCGTTTTGTATACTACTAGTCATTACATTGTATGACCACTTGAAACACTGACCGGTAGTCAACAGTGATTGTCTGCCGATACCACACGTGTCGAGCGTTACGTTCGGGTATTGTTTGATACGTGAGTGCAAACCATTCACTACTACTACCGATACTATTGCTGACACTATAGACAGTGATAACAAATTAATGATAATATTTTGTGAATAAGTTTTCATAATTTTATTTTTAAAAATTATTATAGTTTTTAATTTGCGTTGAATTGTTACTAAAAAAATGTTTTGATTTTTAAATTTACATTATTTTATTTTTTAAAGATATTTTTAGTTGTTTTAAATGTAACAAAATATTTAAATTATTACTTAATAGATATCTATTATAAAAAATAAACTTAATATACAAAAATTAATTTGATATTTATGTAATCTAAAATACCTTTATCTTTAATTTAATATTCATATAAATTTTACATTATATTTAATAATACTTAATTTGTATTATTTATTTAGCAATATTTTTGTTTTATTTTATTTTATAAACTCTTCAATAAAAACTATTGTATATAAAAAATTATTCATTCATTTGTTACAAGTGTTTCAAAAACAATTCATATGTGATGTCAATGGTTGTGACAAAATTTTTATTAAAAAAAATCCAAATTTTTAAATCACAAAAACATACACACATTTGGGTATTACTTATATGTTATTTAAATGTAATATTTAAATGAATGCAACAAAACCTGTGCTTAATTATCAACAAATATTTCAAACTCTTTTAAGCCGTCGTCGTCTGGATTGAGATATTGTGGCAAAAGATTGTCGTAAAGAAAATCAATGATTTGTTTATATGATTTCGACTCAAATAAGGGAACCGTTTGTTTAATTAAACGCCAGTTTCTCATCAATGCATTGAACGATGAAATGTTTGCAAACTTTTCCTTAATTATATCCCAATCGATGTCCGACTCGTCGGTAAAGTTATATCTAAACAAACAATAAACAAGTCGTGCGCAATCTTTGTGTGTCCAATGATCCTCCAATTGATACCATTGTGCTACAGACCAACGCAACTGTTGATACCAATGTAGTGCCACATGAGTGGAACTCCTATTAATTTCGGCCAACTCTTTGATTTCATTGTACGGTATATTTTTGGTGAACACATATTGTTTGAGATCATCGGTGTTCAGCACTCGTCTCATTGCATCCAATAGTCGTTTATTTTCATCCGGACTCCACTTTCCCTTATCATATGGTTCACCATTTTTGTTGAACGATCGGTGATAATAATTGCTTATCGCATACGGCGTACACATAAACTTTTCGCCAATTTTGCTCCACTTATTGCCATACAATGTATGCAATTGTTTTATCTTATCGATAGTTTGCACCGACATCTCACTCATACGTTTCAATGGCTTGAATGAAGTCCGCGACACATAATAGATATTTTTGATCGTACGGTTAGGCAAACCGTTGGCCAACCGTAACAAAAATTGCGTACTTTTAACAAAATCCTGAAACTGTTTGCGATCCTCTTTCGTATATTTGCCTATATATGCAAAATATCCTAATAAACGTAATTTCATCTCAACATCGCACTCGTAGTCATCACAATATTGATCCCAATTTTGTTTTAATACTTGTACTTCACGTTTAGTAAATTTTCTTTTAATTACTTTTAAATTATTATCTTTAATAAGCTTATGGTCTTTCGCTGAAATATACTTATTGGTAATTAATAGATGTAATGGAGAATCACTTATAAGACATTTATTATTTTGATTTGTATGTCTAGGATTGCAATCACTATAATCACTATCAATAGTATGACAATTAACTGGTTGTGTATTGAATACAATGTTTGTCACAAAGTTTTCAACACTTTTATCATTCATTAGTTTTTTGTTATCAAATGTGTCTCTCATTTCACAATTATTTGAATTATTATTATTACTATTAATTGATTGTTCCGTATATTTACTATTATTTTGCAAACATTTGTTGTCAATAATATTATTATTATTATTACTATAATTGTCATTAAAGTTTTCACAACTTTCACTTAAAGAGTCATTAAATTTAATAATTTTATTAAACTTATTATTATAACAATCGGTAACAACAAAACCGTTTGCAATACTTTTACCACTTATTACTTGTTTATCATTTAATTGATAATCAATTGATTGATTCATTAATTTTTTATCAACAAATGTGTGTTTCATTTTACAATTATTATCTGAATTATTCATATTATTGTTATTATTATTACTTTCACTTAAAATTTCACAATTATTTCTATCATTCATATCATTATATTTAATAACTTTATTAAACTTATTATTATAACAATCGGTTAAAACAAAACCGTATCGTTTGTTGTATTGATTATTAATATTATTCATTGTTTTTTTTGTTGCAATCAAAATAATAATTAACTAAAAAAACAACAAAAACTTATAAAACTATGTCTTAAATATCGCTATAATTATTGTTAATTAGTTGTGTTTCACGTGTTGTTGTGTTTTGTTTATATGTATTAAATAATTTACAGACACTTATCGATGACATCACATTTGAATTTGAAAATCATTGAATACATTCACACATACATTACGTCTATAATTATATAATATTATAAAATGTATTTATTTTTTTAATATTAATAGTTTAAATAACTATTATTTTACTGTAATTCATAATTTTTTATTTAAAAAAAATTATATTTTATATTTAAAAAAAATTATATTTTATATTTAAAAAAAATTATATTTTATATTTAATAATATCTTAATTTATATTTTATATTAGCAATATTTTTATTTTATTTTATAAACTGTTGAAAACTATTGTATATAAAAAATTATATATAAATGCTTATTTGGGAATTGTTTTTAAAAACAATTCATATGTGATGTCAATGGTTGTGACAAAAAATTTTTATAACAAAAAAATCCAAACTTTTAAATCGCAAAAACATACACACATTTGGGTATTATATGTTTTCCTTATTTTATTTTTAAAAATTATCATAATTTTATAGTTGCGTTGAATTGTTACTAAAAAAATATATTAATTTTAAAATTTACATTATTTTATTTTTAAAGATATTTTTTAGTTGTTTTAAATGTAACAAAATATTTAAATTATTACTTCAATAGATATCTATTATAAAAAAATAAACTTAATATGCAAAAAATAATTTGATAGTTATGTAATCTAAAATACCTTTATATTTAATTTAATATTCATTTTAATTTTACATTATATTTAATAATAAGATTTTTAATTTATTATTATTATTATTATTATTATTATTATTATTAGTAGTAGTAGTAGTAGTAGTAGTAGTAGTAGTAGTAGTAGTAGTAGTAAAATAATTGTAAACAATATTATTATTTGAATATTTTTTTAATCGGAATTAAAATTTTATTAAATTATCACAAATTATTAATAACTAATACTAAAATTTTTGTAATACTAAAAAATACCTGAATTTTGATTTTAATTTGTATAGAATAAACATGAAAACTAAAAATGACAAAACATGCACTTAATTATTATATTAATATTAATACAGTTAGTATCAAATAATATATTATTAATTATTATACAGTATTATACGATATGATAACTAAACAATATATAATTATTATAACCAATACTATAACATATATTGATAAAGTGTTTTATGTATTATTGTTTTGATATCAATTACTGATTTTCAATAACTGTCTGATTAATCCAATCGACATAATTGGATATTCGCAGAAAAATCATTGAAACGTCAAAATTATTGGCCAAACAATCGTCGGTACGCATTACTAGACTAAGTATGCCAATGATTACGGCCCGACCCCCGCCGTCCACATACTGTATCAATGGTCCGCCAGAATCACCCTATTATTTGTTTAGACGGGTTGGCGGGCGGGTGTGTGTGTGTGTGTGTGTGATAAAAAAAAATAGGTTTAATGAATAGTTTAAGGTTTATTAGGCGTCACAAAAATATAGTTATTATTATCATTATTATATATAGTATATTACAGCTAATTTTTTTTGGTACTTAACTATACACAAACCGATTCCCGTTTCCAATGGATATCGTTTGGCATAAATCCTGGGCTCACCGTCCGAATGGTTGTAGATATTGTCTATTTTAACAAAACCCGTACGCAAACGTCCCTCATTGACTACACCATTGGCCAGTCGACCAAAACCGGCAAACAGTGCCAACTCATTGTCAGTGTTATGTAGATCTTTGTCGGGCAAACAAATACCGTTTACCCTATGATATCCGATTTGATCGGCAAACTCGATATGTTTGTCCAATTTTACTAATGCAATGTCAAACCAGTATCGGTCAAAATGGCTATCATTTTTAAAGACCGGATGAATATACCATTGTTTTACATCATAGTTATTATCGCTATTATAGTCGACTGTCTGAACAATGCTTACTGTTGTTTCGCGATTAAGACTTATAAACAAACAAAAAAAATAAAACAATAAAAATTATAAATAATTTTTTTTACTAAAAGTCTAATTTAATTAATAATTATTTTTTAATATTTATAAATATAATTAATTTAATTACTTTTGACAATGAGCTGCTGTTATAATCCATTGTGAGTTTAGTATACTACCAGTGCATCTTTGCCTACTATAATATATTAATATATCATAGTTTTTATATTAATATTATTGATATAATAGTTAATAAAAAACGATTTGAAAAATTTGATTATTAATTAAAAATATTTACAAATCATATCTGAATCCTAAAAATGTTTTATAAGTCCAAATCAATGCAATCCACGGCCACTCTCCCGGTTCGGCGAACCGTCCGTTTTGTACACTACTAGTGATTACATTGGATGACCAATTGAAACACTGACCGGTAGTCAACAGTGATTGTCTGCCGATACCACACGTGTCTAGTGTTACGTTCGGGTATTGTTTGATACGTGAGTGCAAACCATTCACTACTACTACTACTGACACTATAGACAGTGATATCAAAACATTAATAGTTAATATTAAATAAATTTTAATCATTTTTATTTTTTTATTTTAATTATGATAGATATGTATATACTATATATTTATTTATAATTGTTAAATTGTTAAATAAATGCATCAAATATTTAAATATTGATATTTAGTTACATTTTTTATAAATATTAAATTATAATAATTATCAAATTTAAATTTCTTTATATTTTTACTTTACAGTGTTCAATATTTAACTATTAATGAATCAAATTTTTTTGGTACTTAAATGTATAATATTTCAAAAAAAATATTAATGAAAATATTTTGTTACAATAATTTTTTTTGTGTTACTTATTTAATTATTTTTAAAAATTATTAAATTTATAAAATTCATACAATATTTCTTTAATTATTTAGCTATTATAATAAATTGCTAATAAAATTAATTTTCTTAAAAACTTTAAGATGACTAAAAACTATTTCATGTTAAAAATTATTATTATTAGTTAATAGTATCAGTAGTAGTAGTAGTAGTAGTAGTAGTAGTAGTAGTAGTAGTAGTAGTAGTAGTAGTAATGAATAGTTTGCAATTGTTTTATTATATTTATAGTAAAAAAATATTTCAAATAATTTTTTTTAAATATTAAATTATATACAATCTTATTAGTTGTCACTAATTATATTACTAATTATTATCAATAACAGTACTATTAATCCAATTGACATAACTGGACAGTCGTATGAAAAACATTGCAGAGTTAGGGCTATTAAATAGACAATCGTCAGCTCTGGTCAGACTACTCAGTATACCGATAAGTACGGCCCGACCCCCGCCCTCGATATACTGGATCAATGGTCCGCCTGAATCACCCTATTGTTTAGTGTTTAGATATACAGTATAAACAGGGTATATGTAGTAAAGGCTAATATAGACATATATTTATTGTTATAGTTTGATACTTACTATACACATACCGATTCCCGACTCGGGTGGATATCGATGGCCATAAATTTGTGGATCACCACCGATCCTATGGCTTGAGAAACTATCTATTTTAATAAACCCCGTTTGCAGTAGCCGTTCATCATTGGCCACACCGTCGGCTAGTCGACCAAAACCGGCAAACAGTGCCAACTCTTCATCGGTATTGTAGATATATTTGTCGGGCAAACAAATACCGTTTATCCAATGATATACTATTGTTCCGATCTGACCACTGCTGGTCACTATCGTAATATGTTTGTCCAGTTTTAACAATGCAATGTCATAAATGTTTCGGTGTTTAAGATTTTGGATATTTTCGTAATCCGGATGAATGAACCACTGGTTGACATCATAGGTATGATTAGTATTATGTCTAACAATAATCACTGACATCGAGTGATTGACTCTTTTGAATAAAAAATAAAAAACAAAACAAAAAAACAAATCTTTAAATTTATTTTTAAAAAATAATTATTAAAATTATTCTAATATTGTTATGTAAAAAATTCTTATCAATAAATATATTTTATATTGTAATTATGAAAATATATAAAAAATAATAATTAAAATTTTATTGTATTATACAGTACTTTATACAATGGGCTGCTGTTATAATCCATTGTGTATTTAGTATAACTCCACTGCATTTAGATCTATACAAACAAAAAATCATATAATACTGTAATTTAATAATTAAATTACAAATTATAAACATTTACATAAATATATTTATTTATTTTTTATAATAATGATAATTATATTTATAAAAAAATATACTAAACATATCATATTTGTATCCTAAAAATGATTTGTATATCCAAATCAATGCAATCCACGGCCACTCTCCCGGTTCGGCTAACCGTCCGTTTTGGATATTTGCAGTCATATTATAGTGTAGACACTGACCGGTCATCAACAGCGAGTGTCTGCCGATACCACACGTGTCGA